AGAGGAGCCCGCCTCCTCACCTCTCGCCTGCGCGCCGGCCTGCGACAGACCGGCCCGGCCTCTCGCCGGCCTGTGGCCGAACCGCCCGGCCTCTGGCCGGCCGGCCTCCGGACCCCAAACGCAAGGCTCTGTCGGCGAGGACGCGGGGGACGCGCAGGCTCTCACGTCGCCGACGACGTTGCGTTCGGCCTCTGGGTGCCGTCCCCGGGCCTCGGGCTCCGGCCCTGCATTTGGAGCAGGATGACCAGGTAGGTCGTGACGGTGGAGATCACCTGCACGCGCCCCGAGGGGAAATGACAAATCAATTATTGTGGTGACTGACACGGACGAGTTTGTATGCCGAGCCGCGCACCTTCTGCAGCTGCGAGTAGTCCAACGGAAAGACGCCCGCAGCGGAGAAGCGCATCTTCAGGTGGGCCAGCTGTGTTTGGAACTCTTCCAGCTGGTTAAAGAAAATTGATGGTTGTTGTATTCGATATTTTATTGTTGAATTCATTGCTGACCCGGTGCGCTTAGAAAATGACCCCCCCCCCCCCCCGACGAGTCGTCAGCTTCAGCAAGTCCGTGCGTCAAACGAGTACGAACGACTGTCAAAATATTGACATCGATTGGATCTTTCCGATATCGTTTCGATATTGCCTTGACTGTCCTTGACTGGATGGCCAGGAGGGGAGGCCGTTACAGCACGTTTCACAAAGCTTTAGATGTTTTTAGAAATCCTTTCACTCAGCTTCCCGCATGAAGTATGGTTACAAACGTTGCCCCGCCTACCTCTTCCCTGTCGACCTGCGAGAGTCGGGGCGTCTGCAGGATCCTATTGACGGCGTCTGCCAGCACCTCACCCTGGTTGAGACGGGGCAGCCCCCATGGTTAGAGCGCAAAACGGCTTTACACTGATGATGACGTGAATACCCTTTGAGGCCCCTCCCTCGACCGCCCCTGCTGCTGCCGGCGCACCTCGGACTCGACCCACTGGCACGGAGTCATGAGCAGGAGCAGCTGGCCGAGGTACACGCCGACCCAGGCCGCGATCAGCGGCTTCCACGACGAGAACTGGGACGTGATGATGAAGTACAAGCCGCAGGTCGCCTGCCGTGTTATTCGGTAGGAGTAAAGAAACCGTTATCGCAAGTCATCCAAATGATTACCAATTACAACATGTTTGTTAGCAGATTAAGCAGATTTGTAATTTTCTCTCTGTAGATAAAAATCAATTAAATTTTTCCCCCAAAAAGAAAAAATTCCGGGTTTTTTTCCGAAAAAATTACGAATTTTCCCCCAAAATTTCCGGTTTTTGAATCTTTAGTACCATTAGAGTAAACTACTTATCGACGTGTGCCTGCAGAAGTGGCGTATCTGTGAAGAGACGCGCAACACTGGCGGATCTGCGCCGGCCCGGCCAACACTGGCGGATCTGGGAAGGGACGGTCATCACAGGCGTATCTGCGTTCGGCTGATCTGCTCAGTCAACTTCGGAGGCCTATTGCTCCTGGTAGGCATGTCGTACAGTATTGACTGATGTCTCATTGCAATGTTTATATCCTCGTGATTGAGTTTTGATATCACTCAATACTATACGACATACCTACGATGAGCAATAGGCCTCCAAAGTTGACTGTGCAGATCAGCCGAACGCAGATACGCCTGTCATGACCGTCCCTTCCCAGATCCGCCAGTGTTGGCCGGGCCGGCGCAGCCGCCAGTGATGCGCGCCTCTTCACAGATACGCCACTTCTGCAGGCACACGTCGTTTTCGATTGGGCACCTCTTCCAGGCTGAGGGTTACGGAGATGAGGAGCTGGAGCGAGAAGGCGCGATTCAGCTTGTCGATGCAGGTGTACAGGCGCTCCTGGCGGACGCGTAGGTAACGCGCGAAACGCCCGAGATCCGTCTGCGGGCCGGAGACATCCGCGGAGGAGGGAAAGTGTGACTGTAGACGTTCCCCCAGAAAAGAAATATTAGCTAGAACAAATGGTTGGCCCAGGGAACACCATCGTACAATTCGGTTGAGATGTTTGAGACAAACTCTCACCCAGTAGGTAAAAGCACATTAAAAGTTCTCACAACCATGCGAATGTTGCATCAACCTTGTTTTATGGTGTCCCTTGAGAAACCCATGAAAGCGTTCATTCGATTAATTCAACATATTGACCAGACCAAAACAAATGGCGAGGAGGCTGTTTTGAAGTCGTGTTTCTGGAACACGCCGCCGCCGACCAGGACCAGGTGGGCGTGCGCCTCGGTCTTGGCCATCTCGTGCAGCGCGTTGGTCGACCGGCTGAGGTCCCGGAGCTGACGGTAAACGAGCAGGGCCATGTTGGCGAACTGGATGTCCGCGGTGAAGATGTAGAGGAGCGGCAGATAGCTCGCGAAAAAGGACAGCACCTGGCGGGGAATTCCACGCACAGAAAACATTAATTTCTATAGTGAATTTTTTGCGAAGAAGATCGTCTCAATATAACGCGACAAAGAAAAGGGAAAATAAAATGTCCTTATATTGGTCAGTCAAATTTCACTGGCGGAATGTTTGCTGTGCACGTGGTCCAATCCCAGCTAGCGAGAGGAGAAGACAAGCAAGGAGAACGTAAAAGGTACGTAAGGTGTAAGGTGCCTGGTTTGTCGAGCTTTTCCCCCGTCTCCCAAATCCCCTGTCTCTTGAGACTTGACCTGGGCTCTCACGACCATGACGGCCTCCACTCCTCACTCGTCAGGGCGGGCCGCCGTCTCCACACAGCTGCTCGGCGGGCCGGCCTACCCGGCGCGCAGCAGGCGCTACCGCCAGCCTCCCGTAGCAAAACATGCAATGAGGGGGCAACACTGACGTGGGTATTACAGTTACTGTTACTGGCCCTCTACCCCCCCCC